CTAGCTTGAATGCATACTTGCCCAAACAGATTTCATCCAGGAAACGTAAGGAGACAAAAAAGGCATCCATTTACTATCTTGGAAGGAAGATTTTCTTCATATACCTTTTGTCATGCATCAGTTATGTATCTTACAAAATAAACCACATGGGCTGGTTGTGTGAACATACACACAACAGATAACAAATTAAGGTTACACCAGCCAGTCTGTTTCTTCCCACTTCTAATCTCTTGAGTCCTGGGAATGCTACAATAATGCTCTTGCATGTCTTATATAAACCCACTGCAAATCCACTGATTCCTCATACACTAAAGAAGAAAACTGCTATAGAGGGTGCAAACAGTCACAAAGGATGGGTCATATGCTTGTACAGCATTTTCTCTGAACTTCAGAGGAATATAAGGAATTGTGGATCTTACCGTTGCCCTCTAAGGGGAGAACATTGTAGTGGTCCCAAACAGCAAAGTTAAGAACAAAAATTTGAACCACTTTTTCTGAAGGCTGCAAGCTAAGCAGGCGACATACAGGGCCGCTGTACTGGTTTCCCCTGTCCAGAGAATGGACTAGATGCAAAAAGCAATATTAAAAAAACCCATATGAGTTTCTGTCCTCCAGTTTAAGCTTTTGCTGTATACAATCCAAAAGCAAACACAACGGGCCTTAACAAATTATCAGGCAAAGGTAGTGATTGTAAGGGAAGTGGCAGCAAGCTCTACTGGCCATATACACTGCTTCTCAACTGCAAATGAGGATCCAATCCTTTCATAAGGGCTACTCTGAAGACTTGAACTTGGTAAACTTCAGGCATTATCCTATAAAGCAACAGCTAATTCAAAATGAAAATCCCTAAGGATAGAAGTTAGAACATCAGCAAGAAGACTTAAGTACTATAAAATGCATGGACACATCTCCCCACATAAGCACTGGAGAAAATATTGCCTTATAGGACTTATGAGCAAGAAACTCACTGTATTTTATTAACCATCAAGTTCCTAGATCTGTAATAGCTATTTATACACCTCAATCCCTTTGGCAATATTTGCTTTAAGGTGTTTTTAACATCTCAGCCCAAATTACAAAGTATCTATGGATTTCCAACTCCATTTGCACTTCCAACTACTTCAATTCTGTTCTTGCCTGATCTATAACTTATGTTAAAACATATGGCAGCATACTTGCTAAAAATTCCCTCAAAAAGTATATTCCCTAAATAAATTCTAAACAGCTTCAGATTTGAGATCAAGAAAGGGGTGGAGGGAGAAACTAATAATGCCTTGTTGTTTTTCTGTTGAGGGTTGGGGATTTTTTCCTCTTCTTTTTTTTTCCCTATGAAACTAACTGAAGGAGCCAAAAGTTACCTAGAGTTAGTTTATGAAGTGAAAATTCTATAAATTTTCTAATGGAAAGGCAATTTAATCTTAGTTCCAGATACTGAAATACTCAATATACATTAAAAAAAAAAATCCAAAAAAAACAAAACAAAACATAAAAACCTTCATAAAGGTTATTATTAAATACTTTGGAGAAAAATGTAGGAAAAATACTGCACATGCATTCAGTAGGAATCCCCTGTGGTTGTCTCATTTACCTCATTACACACATGCATGCACACACACAGAGTGTTAATTGCACTCCAAAAGAAAACTGCAGGCACAGACAGCAAGAAATTAGGTGTGTCCTTCCCCTGCTTCCCTCCTCCCAATGGACGCCTACTATTCTTCTAAAAATTCCCCACAGAAAAAGAGAGTGCTAATTGTAGCTATGACAAAGTGTTTTTCCATCGTCACAGAAGTTCAATTCCTAAATTTGAGCCAATGCACACACAAAGGCAGAGACCAAATAGAAGTAGGAGTTATGATGGATCCATGTAGCAGGAAAAAATTTAATATACATCGAGATCATAATCCCATAAGCAGCAGATCCACGTCAAAATCCTGAAAAGCTTATTTTCAGCCTCTTAAAGCTATCTGATGCAACACCTTTCTGTGAGAACAACGCGTAGCACAGGCACTTGCCTCCCATAGCACATTTACCACAAAATGCATTAGTTCCCTCTGCAGGGCTTATTCTCGTACATTCTTCCAGGAACAATGTGGGACTTCTTTTTGTCCCACAGCAATGGGGTGCTTAGCTCAGATCTCAGCACCTGTTAAGAGTCAGGAGTTTGTGCTGTCTTGTGCCAATCAAACCTACACAAGACATTCAGGCATGTAAGGAGAGAGCAGTAACAGAGAACATGCTTGAGCCACTGTATCAGTTATTGGTATGACCTCATCTGCAATATCGAAGGCAAGGCCACATTTCATTAAGAACAAAGAAAATAGTAAGAACAATTAGGACCTTGAAAAATCTCTCACAGAACTGACTTTAAAAGCTTGCAGAACTGTCACATGACAGAGATGTTAATTCAAAGAAAGTTGGACAAAGAATGATAAGTCCAGGGAAAGGACATCCATCATCCTCAAGACCTGAAAGAAATCAGTGTCAGCTGACCACCACTCATACTAACTGTTCCATTTTGGAGGTGGCATTAGGCTACAAGAGGAAGCCCAGGGAGCAAACAGTAACACATCAGCACCCACAGTGATTGATTTGAGGACAGACTGTGAGTCTGCAGTTGCACTGGCAATACCAACACAAGAGGTTGTTCACAGGCAGAGAACTGATCTTCATCTCACCTCCCAGGCTTCTTCTCCAGCATGAAACACTCTCAGGAACAAAGAGCACAATGATGAATGCATGAATTCCTCTAGGAGAGGTAAGGTCAACATGTAGTAGTGGAAACTGCCCCTTTCTCCCTATACCCTAACATAAGCAGGAGCATGGGAATTCATTTTCACTAGGTCTGTCTACCACTGACAAACAGCTACTCAAGCGTAAAGGCAAGAACCAGCTTTACACCTACACACAACTCCATCACAGCCACTCACACCACCTCTGCAAGAGTAAGTTTTTAGGTGAAGTACGTGAAGCTTGTGTTGAATTCAGGGCATGCAGAATTAATGCAGGTGAAGAGCAAGAAGCATTCTGGCAGCAGAAGCAGGTGCTCACACTTGGCCTGCAGTGCCTTTATTCTAAATAAGTAATTCTCTGCTTAACCATCTCTTCTGAAACACTATTCTAAATGAAAGAAGAGCAGCATTTTCTCCAACCAAGGCAGAACTTCAATTTGCTTAGAAATAATAAAAAAAAAAGAGGGCAGGCTGTGAAGAAATCACTCTGCAAATTATGAGAACTGTGGCACAGTATGGAATTATGGGTTTCTGATGGCCTCCAGTAAGCAATACATAGGTATCTTCTGCTTGAAGAATCTATTATGCAGTTAAGTGAATGTTCCTCTGTGGACACTGATTTCTAATGGGTACAGAGACCCTGTTGGATGGGGAATCAGACAAGCTCAGAAGAGCTGGAATCCCTACCCAGACAGCTCACAGTACACACAGATAAGGTGATAAAAGAGGGGAAAAGAGTTACAAGCAGCAATCAGGGTTAGAAGGAAAACATGTTGAGACATCTTAATTGCCAGAAGGGAAAGACAACCTTGATTCCAAATAGGAAATATTGCCTAGTTCTCTACTTCTAAAGATAGTCCTCAAGTGTCACATAAACTGTGAAAAAGCAGTTCAGTTGTGCATCAAAACTGGAAAAAAACGCCACATATGCAAACTTCAGTAAAAAATTAAGAAATTGAGTTTAATTTTTTATAATGTTATATAATATATATAATATACAGTTAAGAGCTGTAGCAGTATTTGAAATCTTATTCGGAACAATGAATCACTTAGCCTCAGGCTAAAAATGATGTTTTCTGTATGCTGGAGTAACTAGCACCCTAACTTCACACCAGGAAAAAGTTTAGACATAAAACAAACTTCCATACCCAGGTGTGTTCACAGATCACAGAGTATTCTGAGTTGGAAGGGACCCACAAGGATCACCACCAACTCTTAAGTCAATGGCCCATACATGGATCAAACCCACAACCTTGATATTACAAGCTCAGTGCAGTAACCAACTGAGCTAATCTCAGGGTTCGGAAGATTATTTTTGTATCCATAAGTAAAAGGTGTAAACTGTCATAGATTACACATAAACTACTGTTTAAAATCCTAGTTTAAAACTGGCTAATAAGCTGCCTTTAGAAAGAAACATTCATATTCTTGTAATTTATGAACTTTCTGTTATTAATTATGGATGACTGAGACAATACTCATAGGAAAAAAAATCTTCATGGTTGTCAGAGGAATTAGCTTTTTATTCAGATATTTTTATGCAAATTTACTGTGTTTAGATTTTACAAAGACTCTCAACCACAGCTGAGAAATGCTTGGATCATTACTAGAATGTACCAGTACCAACAGTATTATACTCAGGGATGTTTTTTTCAAAGCAAAGATATATCAGCAAACCCTTGGTTTCATAAGATAGCTTTCAAAAATCCCGTGACACTGAACTAGAAGTTTGAATTTATAATTAACTACTCTAATAACAAACTTAAAAGAGCCCTGTTTGGACCTTTTTAATGTCAGAGCAATTAATTGTGACAGAAGATCATTTTTTTCAGCTTGAAGATAGCAATCTTTCTCTGAAAGAAGATACTTCCAAGGACTCAGTGTTTACAAACAAGGAGGAGTTCTCAAGAGAGAACATCTCTTACATATACACACACAACAGGAAAAAAAGCTATATACAACTCACAGGTTGAGGATTTCACTTACTTAAAGTACCTAAAAGAAAATGGGAGTTCCTTTGAAATTTCATCTCTAAGTGATGGTTGCAGTCAGCTTTTTGAAGATTAAACAACTTTATAAAGGAGATAATATGGTAGAGATTAAACTACAATTTCACCTGTTTGACTTCAGGTTCTTTCATGATTTGGCTACACAAATGTTGGCATTATTGGAAGCTGACATTTTACCGTATCCAACTCACAGAAGCAAGACATTCTCTTAAGGAGGTTACAACTTTTTTTTTCTTTTTTTAAGACAAAACATACATACCCTTAAATCTGGAGAGAAGGTGTCTGCTGAGGTGGAAATCGAGTCGGACGATATAGCAGAAACAGATTTGGTGTGAGTAGAATGGTCCGAGTGCGAAGTGGAAGTGCTATAAAAAGAAACACCACAGTGTATCAAAACTGTGCTGAAGAAGACTCAAAAGCTCACAAGTTCAGCCACTCACAGACATATCATGCATTTTTTGCTGTTTCCACCCTTTCCATTCTCAGTTATTCAGCCCTCAGCAGTGCTTTAAGAGAACCTGTTTTACTCACTGTTACCAGGGATTACCAAAGGGTAGACAATTCATTACCAAATATCAGCTCAGACTGAGCCAACGCTAACACAACCACAAGTTAGCGCTGAGGAATATGTTCAGAGCAGGTAGTTGGGTGTGCACCTGCAGTGCCAGCTTCAGGTTGAGCTCTGGGTGGAGGGAGCCTCAGGCAAGAGCCTGTGAACTGCCAACCCTTTGCACAACGAAGGGCACAGGGACCTGTGGCCTAGCCAGGTGATCGGACACTCAGAGACACAGCAGGAGCCCAGGACCGCAGACTTTTGTGCACTTAGACTGTTGGGGTATAAAAGCCCAGGGTTTCCTTTGTTTGGGTCCATCCTCAAAGGCACTCAGGTCAAGCTGCTATTTTATTATTGCACCATAATTATACTGTTTTAAGGATTGAGATGACTGAGGCTCTGCTGTGGAAAGCCTGGGATTGAGCTGCTAAGGAAGCCTTGTCTGACTGTGTGAGTGGGGGTTGTGTAGGGAGGGAGTCAAGCAGGGCACACACCGGCTCACTGGAGCCACCCACTGCAGAGGTGCTACGGGCTCAGCTCAGGTAGCACGAGTGCCAGAGTGGCTCCTGGATGGTCAGACAGAAAAGTTTCCTTAACACTTGATCAAATCCTAAGTCACAGAAAATAAGGGCCTCCATTTCAGGCTTTCAGATGGGAGATATTAGTGTGCTGCAAGGGGATGAAAACAGACAGACTCCTGAACGCATGCCAGCACAGCTCCAACCGCAGCTTTACAGCAGTGGAAGAAATTCAGAATAAAACCTCTTTTCATCACACACAACTTCTCTCCTTCAAGTATACGTATAACCCTTTGGAGAATTAAAAAGACTCTCCCAGCATACCTCTCTGGTGACACAAAGTGTGATTTGCTAAATAAGAAAGCAAAACAACAATTTTCTTTTTTATACAGTTTTTCTAATATAGCTGTAAGCAATTAAAGTAAGCTTATATTTTATAGCAATTTTATGCTGCAGCCTCTCCTAGAACCCTAATTGCTTAAAATTAGCATTCAATACTAAGGTTTTTAAGACCCCAGATGACTGTAAAGAAGGATCCTCTGTAGTACAATGTCACTCCCTGAAGCCACTGTACAGCAGTAAATGCTACCTGTGCCAATTAATTCTCACACCCTTACCAAACCCAAAAAGGTTTTATCTGGGTTTAAAGACACTCTTAAGGATCAGCTCTCAGACTTGCAAGCCTAGTCACGGCCAAAACAGAATATCAACAGGAGCATTACCGCTACTACTTGTATTAATTAGATGTGACAACCTAGAAATAGCTATAATCTGAGCTTCCAAAGGGCCTGGAGATTTGCTAATTGTCCAGAAATTGTTTTGCTGCTGATAAACAGCCACCAAAAGGCCAGAACGTTCCACTTTTATTTCTATTCTCTGGAGTTTGGCAAAGTATTGAACAGTGTTAAAAACATGAAGGACTACAGCAAAACTGGGCTCTTGCTGGGAGTTAGTTTTCTATCTCCAAGCATTAAAGAGTATTGGCAACCCTTTCATCCTATGAAGTAGAAACTTCAAAATGGAACCTCTGGGAACAATAAAAAATTATTTAAAATAAATGACACTGGTGTGCCAATCAAATAGCACAACTCCACCAAATGCACTTGCTGTACACAGTTCAACAGCTATTCACTCAACTTTTCAACGTGCTAAACTCCTGCAGTGTTGCCAGGTAAACTGCTACCATCTCCATTCTGCTGGATGGGCACCACGGGATGCACGGCTCAATCTGCTGATCTGACGGGGCAGTAAACTGTTATTAAAGTTGGAGAGAGTCTTCTGGTGGGTAACAGGGCTGATTGGATTCATTACATGGCTATATAAATCATCAGATGCAGCATACAGAGAGGGAAGGAATCTGGATCTGGAGACGATGAGGAAGGCTGAGAGCACTTTGTGCACAGCAGCCTGAAGGCATGCTAAATTAGGCTTAGCTCTAAACCACATTTTACATTACTTAAATGAGCTCAGACCCCTGATGTGTTGCCTTGCAACTCCTTTCAGCCTGGCTTCTGCATGGCCACTCTTCATCTTCAAAGTGTTCACCCTCACATTTGCAAGTGCTTAATTAATTTAATTTTTTTATAAGCACGTAAAAAAAAAAAAAAAGGGAATCACACAATCATTCTACAGAGCAGCACCTGTTTACTGTACAGCAACCTATAAGGAGATGGTATTTATAAGGTACTTAGCGGTACTTATTTATCAATGAAGAGCAAGCAGATACTGTAGAAGCCTTTATTGCAGGGTGACGCCTTTGACTCCTGTGCCTGGGTCCCTACCGTGCCTTCTCCCGCACCGGCTCCAGCCGGGGGAGCCAGAGTCTCAGAGTGAGCCTCCAGAAGCCATGCATTCTAGCTCCCTTCCCTTTCAGGTCCCAGACTTTTGTGTATTTAAATGTATTTTAAAGGTCAGCAACTCTGCTGAGTTTACAAATCCTTTAGCACAGGTGCTAAGTATCTAAACCAGGGCATACCAGCAGCTGACATGGCCCTGTGCACCATGCCGGACAGCTTACTCAACCAAGTATTTTTTGCATAAAAAATTCACATCCTTAATTGATAGAAAAGGGAGCTGGAAAGGTTGGAAAGGTTTAGTGGAGCGTGCTAGCCTCTCTGCCCCCACGCTAGGACAAGCTACACCCAAACATCTCCCAAGAGGTGTTTGTCTACCCTGCTCTGAACAGCTCCCAGGAGAGAGAGTGCTGACAAAAGGATCAAAATTTCACCAGTTTTTGGGTTGACACAACTTGTCTGCCCGGGTACGTTCCCAATGCCTACTTAATACACAAGCAGCAATTATCTAACCATTGAAGACCAAAGATTTTTATGAAATTGTTAATTAATTTCACTATGGCAAACTATGGGGCAGACTGCTTTATGCAATGGAAACAAAAAGAAACAAAAAGAAACAAAAAAGGAGGGGGGAGAACCATAATCCACAGTGTGTCTGAGCTGTGAAAGTGTTTTGTGTTTATTGATCACACTGGGCTTCAAGTGGGTGTTAAAGAAGGAAAGTGTTTGCATTTTAGAAGTGGATTTTCAAAAGATCCCCACACCAATGTCCCTCTGCTCCCGCAGAAACCACCAGTGATGCCTCCTCTCAGTGTCGGCTGTGGGAGCTTTTGGGAAGCACAGCCTGCACACGCAGTGAACAATACCCCTGGATTATGCAGCTCGGCAGAGTATGCATAGGTTGCATATGTTTGGCTACCTCTGTTCTTCTCATCTGTCATTTCTAGGGAGCTGAGATGGAACGAAGGAGCAGACAACCAAAAGGTCGCTGGTTTCCAGCTCCCTCCTCTTATCATTGTCGGACAGTTGCACAGCTTCAGCTCCACTGCTCAGCAAACTAATTAATCTAATGCCCCTCCAAGTGTTGCACATGAGAAGTTTGTTAGTTTCAGTGGTTTAGTCAATCTTGAGCTCTTCTCTGCTGCCAATGCAAAAGCAAAGATCTTCAAACCGCACAGTATCGTATGCCTCTGGGTGGCGGAGAGCAGGAGAACATCCTGGGGCCAATACATAAACTCAGGAGACAAGAGCTCCCTCCACGTTTTGCCACCAGCCCTTCTGCATCATCTCAGGCAAAACATTTACTCGTGCTTCTGACACAGCTTCTGCATATTGTCCCAGCCTTTGCCAATGTAAAGTTAAAGCTGTCTCTTACCATACTTTTGGCAACATGACGAGTACGTCTGGCACCAGCCTAACATGCTGAGGACCCCACTGAGGATGCTCTGTTCTCACAGTGACAACCCCTTAACAGCTGTGTAACCAGTAAGGCAACACAGACTAAACCTGAGGGACAGTCAAGGCACCACGGTCACATGTAACTTCTGGGTTGGGGGGGCACCTGACAAACATCTGAGAACACAGGTAGGTTTGGACAGGTTTCAGCAAGGGTTCAAAATCACTAGGGCTGTGCCAGTCACTGCTAGCTGAAGGCCTAGTTCAATACTACTTAAACGTGCCAAAGTACAGCATTATCTCTGAACCTCATTAAGGTTCTAGGAAACAACATATACTCAGGTTCACAAAATACTTTGAGCTCTTCCTATAGGAAAATAAGCGAGTTCCTGTGAGGAACCAGGGAAGACCAAGGACCTCCTGGAGCATTTTTCTTTCTATGCTTCAGTCCGAGGCAGCTCTGCATCGTCCTTACTGATGGATGTCTGTGTTAAGTACGAAAAGAGACCTCTTCAACAGGTCAAAAGCACCTCCAGGGAAAGCACCTTACTCCTGTGACTGCCATTCCCATTTATTCCTTTCCTCATTCCTCCCCCATGCAGACACAGGAAACAGGTCTAGGACGCAATTAACGCTGATCCATGTCTTTCATCTTGGTAATTATTTTTATTATTTAAATATGTTTCTTTATAGCCAGATTGTGAATGACGAGTCCAAATGTGAGCTGTCGGCACAATGGTCTTATACAGTATCTGCACGCAGCATTAACCCCTTGGCTATATGGAATACATATATGCAACTAATAAGAGAATTATACTGGAAACCAAGCACAGTGACTCAACTCCTGATAAAGTGTTCATTGTTATTATTAGGACTATCCCACAACATGCCAGATGGTTTTCAAACATAATTCAGACTCAGACAGATGCCCTCCGGTGATTCCTGTTCAGGCAATTGAAAGGTATTACAGCATCCGTAGCAGAATTGAAGGTATGCCAGTGTGCTGAGCTGAGGCTGTCAACAAAGGTGTAAAGAAGCTGCAAACAGAAACATCTGAGATAGGCAAACTCTATCTGTTAAACTATGAACGTGCAGGGAAAATATTT